ATATTCTTGGTGGTTGTATTAATTGTTTATCTATTAATATTCTTGGTTGTTGTATTAATTGTTTATCTATTAATATTCTTGGTGATAGTGGCACTTTTTTACTTATTATTAATCTTGGTGGTAGTATTGGTTTTGATTGTTAATATTCTTTGGTACGTATATTTATTTTTCATTTATTAATATTCTCATTGATTGTATTCATTTTTCACTTATCAATAATCGTAGTGTTTCTTTTTTATTCATTAGCAATTCAAGTTATATTTTGTACTCAAAATTTGATGTTTTTCTATGTATTAATGGTCTTGGTAATTTTTCATTGGTTAGTTGTTTCGGTGATGTTTTTTCAATATTAGGAAACTCGTAGATGCTTTTTATTGATAAATAAATATTTTTTTTTTGTTCATTTTTAGGTTCATTTTGCATTCGATATGACAAATCTTTACTGTTTAAACAAAAATTTGTTTATTAATATAAAACCACCTAATGTACCAAAACCATCGTTTGTTTGGGATTATTTTGGTAATTTGTACAAAAAACCGAATGAGGCAGTGGATATTCAACATGTTTATTGTAAAATTTGTTTTAACAAATTGAAAGATGATCAACCTGATATTAATTTTTTTTCAATTAAACATCTTACTGGCGTTTACAGCAATACAAGTGGTACAGGAAATATGAAAAATCATTTACTATCAATCCACCAAGTAACAGAATCATCACAAACAAAAACAACAAATCAACATATTCTTTCCATGTTTTCTCGTGATCGTCATTCAATGAAATCTTCACAATTAAAGCAACAGCTAGGTCATCAATTAACATTAATGTGTTGTAGAGATCTTTTACCATTTTCTATCGTTGAAAATGAAGGTAAATTTTTTTTCTAGAACATTATATATATACTCATTAAGTGTTTTTATGCTTAGGTTTTCAAGATTTTTTGATATCCAACAAAATTGTTTCTTCAAAATCAGAAATTCCTTCACGTACCACACTATCACCTATAAATCTCAATAAAATTTACGATGTCTGTTATCAAAAAACGAAAGAATTATTAAAATTATCAATAAAATTTCCTACAATAACGTGTGATACATGGACCGACAAATATAAGCATCGTTCATATATTTGTTTTACAATACATTTTCTTGATTCAGATTTACAGTACCACAACTATAGTTTGAAAACACAACCATTTGATCAATCTCATACAGGTGAAGCTATAAAAGATCTTGTTTTAGTTGTTTTACATGAATTTGGTATAAATTCTAATAATATAATTGTGGTGAGAGAAATTAATCATGAAATATTCGTGCCATGTTTGATTTTTTTTTGTGTAGGTTTCAGATCAAGGTGCAAATATGCGCAAAGCATGGAAATTATTAAACGTAATACATACATATTGTATTTGCCATGGTATTCACAACTGGTTGATGAAAGACTGCTTTCCTTCCATGGTTTTTGTATCAGATTTATTAGATAAAGTTCAAATGATAATTAATAAACTTCGTTATCGTCAACATGAACTTGAATATGAATTTTTTCGATCTGATAAAATGATAAACCAAGATTTATTTACAATAATAAATAAAGCTGGTGAAATATTAGATGCGGATATTGCTTCATCATATATTGATTTTGAAAATTTAGAAGCATTGGATGAGAATATGATAATTAATAATTTAGAAGAATCGTTATTATCTGATGATTTACAATTCGATTCAAAACAAATTCAACGTTCAAAAAAATTTAATAATTTAATTTCAGTTAATAACACAGATACAGAACGATTTCATACTTTAAAAAAACGTATTGTAACTCGTTGGAATACGATTTTAATTATGCTTCGTTCATATATCGATAATGTAGCTGGTATTGAAATTATATTACATCGACTAAAACATTTTGATTTAATATTATCACCTGCAGAAAATCAAATTGTTTATGATTTAGTTGAATTTCTTGGTTTACTTGAATCAGCAACAACAATTTTATCAGCATCGAAATCTTATACAACAATGAATTTATACTTATTATTAAGAATGGTAAGTTCTAAAAATTGTATGATTAATTATTCTGAATGTAAACTAGCTAGAAATGAATATTCATCTCCAATTATTATATTTAAAGACATGAAATCCGTTTTCAAGATTTTTAAAATAAAAAACTGTGTATCTTTCATAATAAAACTATTTGGTAGCTTTCAGATGGAAAGATATTGTTAATTAATTAATGTTTATATTAGGAAATAGAATCTATGTTGAACATTACCGACATGGAATCATCAGTTATTCGAGAATTTAAAAGTTTGCTTTTTCAAAACCTAAACAAGAGATTTCCGGTGATTCCATTAAATATCTGTGGTTTTTTACTTGATCCATCACAACTCAAAATTGATATTAGTCGTTATTTAACTCAAAACCGAACAACAAAAGAATTAATTTTGTTAGAAATGATAAAGAAATTTAAAATTCATGATGTTCCACAAGCATCCACAACAACAGAAAATATCTCAACACGTGCACCATCTTCACATTCAACTGCACGTACAACAACATCATCATCTAGCATGAAACGTAATTTATCAGTGGAGAATTTGAGCGAACCAGTTCAAAATTTAAAAAAACTTCGAGAAAATTTAATCCAAAAGCACACACCAATTTCAGTGCCCTTTGTTGATCCTATTGCTAATGAAATAGAAAAATATTTGAGACTTGATGTTAACTGTGATGATGTACTTCGATTCTGGCGATTATCAGGAGACACATTTCCTCATTTAAAAATTCTTGCTCAGGTTGTTCTTGCAATTCCAGTTACATCTACACCAAGCGAGCAAGTTTTTTCAATAACAGGTTTGATTCTCAATGCTAAACGAACAATGTTACTACCAGAGAATGTTGGTAAAATACAAATGATCCATGACAATTATAATTTATTTAAACCTACTTAGGATTTTATTTATTTCTTGTATATTTTTTTCTAGTCATGTAAATTTGTGATAAATTTATATATTTTCATTTATTGTTCAGCTATATGTTACTTGTGTACTTTATTTATTATATCCCGATGTAAAATAAAGTTTTTCCACATATTTATTTGAAAATAAAAACGACTGAATATTGAAATAGAGGAATTTTTATTTTTTCATGATGCTATAATACTTTTTTAAATTTCAAGCCGCCGCGCCGCTGCGACACTTTAATTATAGCCGCTGCGCCGCCGAAGGCATTCGAAATTCTAAAAATTTCGAGCCGCCGCCGCTGTGTAGGCTTGGAATATTGAATCTGCGCCGCCGAGTATTTTTAAAAAATTTAAAAAAACTGGCGCCGCCGCCGATCAGCCTATCGGCTTACACCTCTAGTTGCAGCCCCTTATATAGTAGGCGTGAGACTTAAAAAGACTCTCTTTCCATCAAATCATCCGCTAAACAATCTATTGTTCATACTTGTTACTGATACCTGAATCTCAATTGAAATGACCACGAACACGTGGTGCAGCCCTCTATATAGTAGGGGGTGAGACTAAAAAAGACTCTTTTTTGATCAAATAATACTCCTCAAAAATCTATTGTTCATACTTGTTACTCATGCCTAAATCTCAATTGAAATGACCACGGGCACGTGGTGCAGCCCTCCATATAGTTGGGGATGAGACTAAAAAAGAATCTTTTTTGATGAAATAATACTCCTCAAAAATCTATTGTTCATACTTGTCACTCATACCTAACTCTCAATTGAAATGACCACGATCACATGTTGCAGCCCTTTCTATAGTAGGGGGTGAGACTCAAAAAAGACTCTTTCTTGATTAAATAATACTCCTCAAAAATCTATTGTTCATACTTGTTACTCATAACTGAATCTCAATTGAAATGACCGCGAGCACGCGATACAGCCCTTCATATAGTAGGGGATGAGACTTGAAAAGACTAAAAAAGACTCTTTTTTGATCAAATAATACTCCCAAAAAATCTATGGTTGATAGTTGTTACTCATACCTGACTCTGAACTCAAATGACCACGACCACGTTGTGCACCCATATATATAGGGCAAGGTGGACCTGAAAAGACTGAAAGGAAGACTTTTTAAAGGCCAAGTAACAGTGCTGTAAAATCGATTTTTCGCACTTGTTATTGAAGCCTTGTACCCAAGCGGCATGAGGGTTGATAGGCGGTACCGCCCTATATTTAGAGTACGGTGAGTCTCAAGAAGACCGAAGGGAAGACTTTTGGTAGGTCAAGCAACAGTGTTTGAAAATCGATTTTTCTTACTTGTTATCCACAATGTGCACTGAGCTCAAATGAGGGTGAACAGGAGGGGCACCCCGATGTATAGGATAAGGTGAGTCGGAAAAAGACTCAGAAAAGACTAGTTTTCGATTAAGGTATACTGCTGGAATTCTCGTGGCTCTTTCTCGACTTTGTAGAAACGTAACTTTTGTTAGCTGTCGACTAGGGTGGTGGGTGTGGGTGTGGGTGTGGGTGTGTGGGTGTGTGGGTGTGGGTGGTGTGGGTAGTGTGGGTATAGGTGCGGATGTGGGTGGTGTGGGTGTGGGTGTGGGTGTGGGTGTGTGGGTGTGGGTATGGGTGTGGGTGTGAGTGGTGTGGGTGTGGGTGTGGGTGGTGTGGGTAGTGTGGGTATAGGTGTGGATGTGGGTGGTGTGGGTGTGGGCGAATCTAAGGCTCACATCCACACCCACCCACACTCACACTCACACCCACACCCCCACCCACACCCACACCCTTCATTCTGTCGTTCATCATATGGTCTACTGTCTAATGCGAATGACTCATTGCATCATTACTAAAACGAATCCATTTATGCACTTACTTCGAGTCATCTCGAAATTGTCTCAATCGAAACGATGGTTTCACAGGAAAATTATTCATAAATTATCACATCTTTCCATCATATTTTTATTATGGTCATTTTTATTTTCTTGATTTTCTGAATGTAACAAAATAGCGTCATCTGCATTAAAAGCAAGCTCAAGACTTAAGCCGGAAAAGTCGATGCGACTAAGACATACAGCTTCAGCACATTCTCAAGTACGGGATCGCTTAATTTTATCACAGATTTAGGAACTTAAGGAGTTCAAAATTTTCAAGTACCCGTGATAGTATAACATTCTGATATCGCCGAAGACAACTAGCAACGAGCGCCTTCTATCACGTTTCTTGGAAATGACCAGCAAAGTTTTTAGCAGAAATTATTCATGATATTATGCTGATTCTAAATATATATAAATCTCTTTATTTGCTTCATTTTATAAAAAATATTCACACAGTGCATTTAGAAATAACCACGGAAAGATAAGCCCAATCATTTCATCAGACAGTAGATCAATATTTTTATTTTTCGCTGTCTATAGATCTGGATTTAGTCTGCCATTCATCCTAGGCCATTTGCCTTTGTTTAACTCCTTTGTTATTACCATTCAACTCTTCATATATATTCATTTAATTTTAGACATATCGTCATTCAATTTGTCATTTGGTTTTTCATTAATCTTTGTCGATTGTTGTAATTAAGCCCTCATCACTTGGTATTATTCTATATTTATATTGATTTTATCCTTATTTATGTTGATTGATTCTACGGTGAGCTTTATTCAATGCTTCGTTTGTTATTGTTTAACTTTCATCACTTGTCTAGGTTCAATTCATTTGATATATTCCACAAATATATATATTCGTTTACGTTCATTTCGTATATTATCACAGTTATATGTTCATCTATTTGCTCACTTGATATATTTCCACAAGCAAATCTTCGTCTATCCTCATTTAGTATATTTTTGCAATAATATCTTCGGTTATTTTTTCATTTGATATATTTTTCCAAATATATCTTCGTTTATTTGCTCGTTTGGTTTAACTTTCCACATATCTTTGTTGAAATCTTGATTGATATTTATTTAATTATTCATTCGCAAAATGTTATTGGATAAAGTTCATATTAAATTAGGGAAAGCACATGTTCTATTGTATAAGGATGAACCTGATGAAGCGTTCAAAGTATGTATTTTCTCCTTATTATTCTAAATTTAATGAGTTTTTATTTTTTATCGTTAGGAATTAATAGATGTCATTAATGAATTAGTCAAAACGGATGCACCTCTTCAGAATGACGAGGCTAGAGATCTATTAAGAGCCTCCTGTCTCGAACGAGTAAATTTAAGTTATGAAGAAAAGAAATTCCGAGGTAATATGATACTTTCTTAATATGACAATAATTAATTCTGTAAATATGATCGTTTCTTTATTAGAATTTCTATATGATGTAGAACTTCTTCAAAAAATTAATTATGATATTTACAGTAATATCAATCTGGCTCTTAAAAAGCTGTAAGTCAAATATTCGTATATTGATATCCTATGGTCATTTGATATGTATAGAGAAGCTCTATCTGCAATTCACAAAAATATTCTAGAAAACGGAATGCAAAAAGTAAAAATAAATGGTAAGCATGAATATATCTACATTTTCGAACTGATGAAAGTAAAATTTTGTTTTCGCTTCTTAATTGTGACCATTCACATAGGATGTTCACCGAGCACAATATAAAGTTCTTTGTTCTTGTTGAGAGCCATGGACATCCGTCAATTCATTAAAAATTTCTTCTAAGTTTTTTTGCTTCAATCATGAAAAAAAATCTTTTTTTACCATTCAATGGCCTTTGAGTATTGTCGTTTGCTCGCTCCTGCTGTATTGGAAAAAAAGCGTAGGCAGCGTGTTAGTGAAACGTTATAGAAAGAACTAGTCTTAAAAAATTGACATAATCGTAGAAACAGAAGAGTCGTTAACTAGAGCATCTTACTAGTGAAAACCGAAGTGATTAGTAGCAACAATTTTAAACTCCATTTAGTACTCCAAAATTTAAATAAGACCGAAGGCTCCTTATTGCGTCACCAGTTGATCACAAAATATCAACATATCTTGACCTTTTTAATACTCAATATCTTAGTTAAAGTATATATTCGTTCTCTCAAAAAATTTTGAAGACGTCATAGAGATTAGTTCCTTCGTGCTAGCACCATTCCTCTTGAATCTGTACATTTAGTTGCTAAGATGATGGTGCATTGTCAGAAACAACATTTTAGTAAAATGCGTATTACTCGGTAAGAAAAGGTGACAGCGTGAAACCAAGAATATCTTACACTAAGCTTAAACTAATACAAAGTCGAAAATCTCGAGCGACAAATGTTCAGAGAGCTGAGACGATTTCCATAAATGAATGACGGTTATGTCGCCTTTCCCATAAAAGCTACTCTCTAGTGAATTGATCGCTGGGAGTTTTATCAAAGAAAAATGCATCGAACGCTCTTCTATCCGACTATATATGACTTTTCGGAAAAAAAGCCGATTCTAAGAGGCTTGACAGAGGAAATTTTCACTTTAAGAATTTGTTTTTCGTAGTAGTGGTGCATACACCAAAGATTTGGGATGCACATACAGTTGTCATCGGAAATCCAGGATCTTCCGATAAAAATGCCGTCTTTTCCCACTGTAGATCCATGATTTAATGAGAGATGCGCACAGCTTACATCTTCATCCTCGTGGATTCCGTGGAGTGTGTGAAATATTCAGATAGTATCTTCCCATTGGTATCAGTGTGAATATAGTGCTTTGATATTGTGTATCAGTAACTTACTATATAGTACAGAATAAGGATAAACTTTTATTGTCTCCAAACAAGAGGCGCAAGACGCGAATGTGTTTTGCAATAACCTAAGAAAAACATAGTTCCTAAAGGTTGCTAGCGTTTTTCTTAAAATATGCTTGCTATGTCGAAAACATGCAGAAACATCTCGATGGTCGCAGATATCATTAATTTATTTCTAGTTTAAAAGCTCTAGATAAGGTAAAACTTTTGTGGGTGTGGGTGTGTGGGTGTGTGGATGGGTGGGTGTGGGTGTGGCTGGGTGGGTGTGGGTGTTGATGTGAGTA